AAAAATGCGGGTTATATGGTGCAAGGATCTGCAGACGTGGCCATTTTAAGACTTGGGGACTTCAACTCCCAGAATTCCCCCGCCGGCCATGCTGGGAGTTGAAGTCCCCAAGTCTTAAAGTCGCCCTGTTTGGAGACACACACACCCCGCCCCAATATAGAGGAAGTCTCCAGGGAGTTAAGACATCATTGAAATTGAAGGCTTTAGAGCAAGGGTCTTGAAACTTGGCAAGTTTAAGACTTATGGACTTCAACTCCCAGAATCCCTGAGCTAACATGACTGGAGGAGGAATTCTGGGAGTTGAAGGACTTCAACTCTCAGAATCCCTGAGCTAACATGACTGGAGGAATTCTGGGAGTTGAAGTCCACAAGTCTTAAAGCTGTCAAGTTTGAAGACTCCTGCTTTAGAAAAGAGAGAGGCATCCTTCTGAATTTGAAGAGAGAGAGAAAATATATAGATTATCTCTCTCTTATTACATCGAGGGCAGCAAGGACGCGAAAAACTGATTCATTAAATAGCAGTGCCAAGTTACGCTTGGATGGCGTATCAAGAGTTTGTGGCAATCTTGACCTATTTGCAGGTTTGATGTCCTAAAACAGTAGCAATTTCTCAAGGAACAACAAAATGCTTCACCCTTACACATCAGAAGAGGATATACAACAGAAAGATTGACTTCTTTCCCAGCTAATAATTTCATCTGGAAACATCAATTAAGAAGGAGTATTGCTGTGTGGTCAGACAAGATTTAAAGAAATGTGGTTACTTCGCCTAGGAATCTTTCTGTTATGCAATTGGGTTATTTGTCTGGCAATTATTTCTTGCATAAGAAGACCGTTTTCTTGCTCCAAATCAGTTGACAATAGATAGCTTGACTAACAAATTTTGTTTAAAAGCAAACGAAGCAACCAACAAGGAATTCAGCAAAAGTTAAGACTCTGAGGCAGTCTCATCCAACATCCATTTTTGTTCAAAAAATTAAGAGCAAGTCCGAAGGCATTCAAGATCTTAGGTAGGGAAGAGTTCTACTAACTCAGATAGAGCTTATTCCAACTTAAGCATGCTTACAAGGTTCAAAAGTATTGTGGGTAGAAAACTGAGATGCAACTTATCATCTAAGTAACACGCAACTACTTTGGGAGTAAACCCCATTTCAGAATTTGAAGGTTTAACATAACAATCCTAAACTTCCCAGAGGTGCTTCTCAAAAAGCAACTGGACTTAAGAATTCCCTGCCCCACTTCTGAAGAACTGAAGAAGCTTCTTGGAGGAGAAGCAAAATGTTTTCAAGAAAGCTGCCCTTTTGGGAAAAGAAAAGCACTTTTGGGAAAACCATGACCTGGAGGATTGAGAATCTCCAGAAATAATCCTAAACCTCACGTTGCAAAACACATACATAATCTCTCTGGATTTTCAAATCGATGCAGCTGATATCTGAATTTCCAGGGAGATACGTGGCCAAAAAAATCCTTTCCCATGAGCTATAATTCCACGGAAGTTCCTTTTGTGTTTCTTGATGTTTTATTTTTTAAAAATGTTTGATGGCTTTATTGTCTTGTTTTTGGTATCCCACAGCTACAGTGTTTTTGTTGGGTCAGCTACACCTATTGTAAAACAAGCCCAGAAATCATAGGAAGCAGCGCTCAATATCACCAAGCAATTCTTAGCACATTTAAAAAAAGAAATCTGTCCGCTTTCCTCATATATTTTATCATCAGTGGCCACTTTCAGAAGCCTTCAAACTACCCACGTCACTCGATGCAGCTTAAAAGAATAAATCACTGATTTACACATAAACTAGTAAGCTATATTTGTGGTGGCCTTCAGGGATCTTTCCAGTTAAGTAATTTTGACAGCTGTGATCCCACTGCCTGGAATTGGTGCAACTCTGTTATGATAAAATGTCAGTCTAGTTACACAGCTTCAGTAATTGGCAAGGATGATGGGATCTGGGATCCAAAACATCAAAACAGCCAGCTGATGTCTGCAAGGAGTATACAGCCTTCCATTCCCCACCATCCAGTCAGAGTAGAAGAAGCTTCTTGGATGAGAAGCGAAATGTCTTCAAAGAAAAACCAGAAAGTCCAGTTACCTTTGGGGAACAACCATGACCTGGATCACGGAGAATCTCCATAGACAGCCAGGCTGATTTATTACAGGATGAATTTCTCAATAATTTTTACATCCGTGTTTCTCAACTTGGGCCATTTTAAGATGTGTGGACTTCAACACCCAGAATTCCCCAGCCAAGCATTTGAGAAAAAAAAAACTGATTTACACTTATTGACTCTATGCTAAGTCAAACTCCTAGAAAGTTATGAACCGAGTCTGGTCCATCTTGGAGGCATCATGTTGGGGAAAATGGACTTCCTGAATCAGCAACCCCAGGTACCTTCTATCCCAAGGGTGGTCAACTTTATGACCCCGTGGACTTCATTTCCCAGAATTCCTGAGCCATGCTGGCTGGCTCAGCAATTCTGGGAGTTGAAGTCCGTAAGTTCCATCCTAGAACAGCTTTTCTATTTCTATCAGGGCTTAGTGTCAGGTGCCCAGATGTCCCCTGGATCCTTTGGATCACATCTCCCAGAATCCCCACTGCTTAGTTTTGCAAGCTGGGGATTATGGGAGCTGTAGTCTCTAATGTATCTGGAAAGCCTCTTCAAGAAGGTCTGCGCCTATCTTCATACCCTCTATGCTCGCTGTGGGGGTCTACCATGAATTTCCCCCCTCCAATTCTCCTTCCCCTAAACTCGCTGTCCTAAGGAGGCTCATCTCCTTCCACCTCCCCCCACCCCCCCGCATCAACCCAGAACCACAATTCCCAGAATCCCCCCAGAAAAGTCAAAGGGGATTATCAAAGGGGGTGCAAGTATCAATCAGTGCCACATTCTCCATGACAAGCGACATATACTAACCAAAGACACAAACAACGATGTGGCATATTGGGATTAAAGGCATGCAAAGTACACCTTGGAAAAAGTTCCTTGAAGGGCCAAGAGTCGTGCCAGCCTTCACTTTACGCTAATAAAGCCTGCCCTGGTTTGTTTGTTTTTTCCTCGCACCGTTTGGATGACCATCCTCCCCCCCCGGCCCCCCAAAGCCACTTGTTTTCGTACTTCCTTGGAGGGGGTCCAGGTGTCAAAGTTTCCCCCCTCCCTCGTCAATGGACTCGTCCGATCTGCGGACCAAAGGCTCGCCGGACGGGCCGTCCCATTCCACGTCATGGGGGGGGATGTTATATTTGCCGGCTCGTCCCGCTCCCTCGCCTTCCACTCACCCAATGGGGCTGCCGTGCACTTCTGCCCACAGGTGGCCCCTTTACGGACCGGTTTCCCCCTCAGCCCGAACGTTCGGAAGCGCCACATGACAGCCGCGAACCAATGGGCGGAGTCGCCGCGGGGCCCACTTTGGAACGTCACCCCGCCAGTTTCCTTGAAGACAGCGATCTGACCCCGCCCCCAACCTTTTTTGGGGCCTCCGTTCTTAAAGGGGCCGCCCCCCACCTCCCCCCGCTTCTACGGAGAATAGAAAAGCGACCTGATGGGCGCTTAGTTTAAATTTAAAGTAAGCTTCGGGAATGGATTTTATTTGGGTTGACCGCAGGCGGGTTTGTGGTCTATGGTCATCTCCGTGACTCATTTTATTTCGAAATTCTAATATTGAAAGAGTTCGCGTAAGACGGGGTTTTAAAACCTGGCCAATTTTAAGAGGGGTGGACTTCAACTCCCAGAATTCCCCAGCCAGAATGCTGGCTGGGGGATTCTGGGAATTGAAGTCCACCCAACTGAAAGCAAGCTGGCTGGAGGATTCTGGGAATTGATGTCCACCCAGCATAAAGCATGCTGAATGGGGGATTCTAGGAGTTGATATCCATTCATCTTAAAATAACTTGGCTGAGGAATTCTGGGAATTGAAGTCCACCAATCTTAAAAGTTTGGAAAACTCTGGGTTAAACATTGCAACCTCCCTCAGAAGTAAGCATTTTGCGCTGCAAATAATCAGAACTGGCATATTTTCTGCGTAATCAAGTTTATTAAGAACCGGAAGCTTTTGTGAGCTCTATCTCATGGAATCTTTTACTTTTTAATAAAGTTTAATAGAATAATTGAAATTAAATAAGTAGTTTAATGTATGTGAGTGTAAAAGGCGCAACTTAGACCACTGATTTTGCTGTTGATATTGTTGCCAAAGACTAACACCGTCCATCTTCCTCTCTGCTTGGTTTCTCATAACATGCTAAAACTTGTTATCCAAGCATTTTCTGGTTTATCATCGCCATCTAGCTTCTATATGGCTTTCTTGGCACTCAGAGGTTATATTTTGTAATTAAAAAAAAAACGAGAGATCGTATCCTTAGCTTTAGCAGGAACGCAGGGAGGAAAGAAGAATTAAGCCTGTGTGTGGCTGCGTTGTCCACCTACACATGGGAAAATAAAATGGCCAATAAACTTCAAACCAGTTTTTAATGCCTCTGTTTTCAAAGGAACCCGTGATGTGCCACATTCTGGGGGGAAAATGCTTCTTGAAGATGCCATCAATTTCCAAGTGTCTTGTTTGGTTTTTAATGAAGCATTGAGCACAGAATTTTCTTTCCTTTGCTGGTCATATTTGTTCAATGAGCTATAAAGTTTTCGGTCCCAGCTTTATAGTTTTACTCAAGCCTTTGCTGTAAATCAGGATAAACTGTAAGCTTGAGGGAAAGAAGCTTTGCATATAGACAGACACAATGAGGTTAAAGGAGGTAAAGGAGAATTGAAGGGAATACTTAGTCTTATGGACATCTTATGGACAGAGAGGAACCTGCCCCACTTTACACTGAGGGGGTCTGTGTGGAGAGAGTTTCCTCCTTTAAATTCCTGGGAGTCTACCTCAGCGAAGATCTTACCTGGAAAATCAACACAAGCCAGTTGGCCAGAAAGGCCCAACAGAGACTCCATTTCCTCAGGGTCTTGCAAAAGAACAACGGCGGATGACCTTCTTTTACCGGTCCATAATAGAAAGCGTCCTCACGTATTGCATTACAGTATGATATGCTGGCTTGACAGCCGTGGATAGAAAGACATTACATGGGGTGGTGAGCCCAGCACAAAACATCATGGGCTATTCCCTGATACCACTAGATGACCTCACTGGGGATCACTGGGAAATCCTCAGAGACGACTCACATCCCGGTCAGCACTTCTTCACTCTCCTACCATCGGGTAGGAGATAGAGAAGCAGAGCCAGCCGCACCAACAGGCTGAAGAACAGTTTCTACCTGTGGGCTCCTGAACGGTAAATAACTTCATGTCAAGATAGTATGATAGACTTGCAGGGCTGGCGCGTTGTGCAGTAAGGTCACATAGTGTAATAAGATTGGGACTGGGTTAGGGACTTCTGTCCTCACTGTGAGTTGTGTTGATTGTGTGTGTTTGTGTGTGTGCACGAAGGGGGGCTCAGCCAATCTCATTGTACACATATTGTACTCTGACTATAAAAGTAATAAATCTTCTCCTAAGGAGAGAATTAAACTAACCAACTAACTAATAGGCCATTGCCAGCAGTTCGATCCTAACTGGCTCAAGGTTGTCTCAGTTTTCCATCCTTCTGAGGTTGGTAAAATGAGGACCCAGATTGTTGGGGCAATAGGCTGACTCTGTAAACTGCTTAGAGAGGGCTGGAAAGCACTGAGAAGTGGTATATAAGTCTAAGTGCTATTGCCCTTCCTCCCTCCCTCCCCCCCATCCAGTGGTTAGGATGCAGTATTGCAGGCTAACTCTGCCGACTGCCATCAGTTCAATCCTGACTGGTTCAAGGTTGGCTCAGCCTTCCGTCCTTCCAAGGTCAGTAAAATGAGGACCCAGATTATTGGGGGCAAGAGGCTGACACTATAAACCACTCAGAAAGGGCTGTAGAGCCCTGGGAAGCGGTATATAAATCTTAGTGGCATTGCTATTGCTAACCAAAGAGGGTTGATTCATATGACAGTTTTCCTCACTTCTTCCTTAACTCTGTGAATTCCCAGGTTTTCAATCAGTCTGATTAAGCCAACAGTGTTGGGCCTATTTAGGATAAAAATCAGGAACTCGTGCCAATCTTTTGAGGAACCTGTTTCTAAGATCTCATTTCAATTTGCGAGGTTATATTCTGGTGGCAACGGTTCAATCGCGGCGAACTGAGCTGCAGAGTAACACAAGGAGTGCTATTTCAAATTTTCCCCACCAGATATTTTATGGAAGAAAGTGCTTGGATGTGGCTGAGACAGCTTATAACTTCGTTTTGCAAAGAGGAACTAGAAATCCTGGCAATTAATCCCGTGTTCTTGTACTGTGTTTCCCCGAAAATAAGACCCTGTTTTATATATTTTTTTGCCATCCCAAAAGGCACCAGGGCTTATTTTCGGGGGATGTCATCCACTGACTCACCTCACTCGCATGCATTGTTCCCGGCCTCCTTTTCGCTTTAATTTTTAATTTTCGCATCCTGGAGTGGGCAGGATCTTAATTGGGGCTTATTTTAGTGGGGTAGGGCTTATATTGGGCACACATGTAAAAATCAAGCTAGGACTTACTTTCAGGGTAGGTTGTATTTTCAGGGAAAACGGTACTAGGCTCAGGTGTACCTTCAGCACACATGACTGAAATGATTGAAAACCCTCTCAAATTAGCTAAGAACCTCTGAGGACCTAATTTCTATTCTCCTCCTTAGCCACACAGGGAAAACAAGAGAAGGGGAAAAGAGGGAAGGAGTGGAAAAATGAGAAATAATAACGCATGAACTACTGCCAGATTCTGTGTCTGGCTTTGGGATGCATATAGAACTAGAAGCTACAAGTCGTTTCAACTTACAACCTGTCACTTAGTGACTGAAGCTACAACGAACCACCCCAAAATGAATTGACGACCCAGTTCTGAACTTCTGACTGCCCTCCCCCATGGTCACATGGTACATTTTGGGCGCTCACTGCCCTACAGTTGTGATGTGACTGCCATTTTAACTGAACATTGGCATTTACGTTCAACTTCTGGCAAAAACACCTCAAAGTGAACAATGGGTTGACTTTTAAGGATCTAAACCAGGGGTCTCCAACCTTGGCAACTTTCAGACTTGTGGACTTGTCAACTCCCAGAATTCCCGAGCTAACATGACTGGAGGAGGAATTCTGGGAGTTGAAGTCCACAAGTCTGAAAGTTGCCAAGGTTGGAGACCCCTGATCTAAACCAAGAGTCTTCAAATTCTTGGAACTCCTTTATTTTCTGCACCTCTCTGGATTTTACAAGGGGTTGCAAAATGTGCGGAGCAGGCAACATATAGCAAGTTCTATCATTACTTTTATTTGTCCACACAACTCTTTACAGACCATTCACTCCCACAAAGGCCTCAAGCTCCGAGCTTTATTTCCAACCAACCCAAATGGTTTCCGAGAGCAAACAATAATATTTCTTTTAAAAAAGAGAAAGGCGCATGCAAAAGAATCAACATTGCATCGTGGATAATAATCCCCTCAGGGGTCTTGCCAAGAACCAAGATAAACTATAAGGGAATGTGCATCCCATTAAAAGCGCAGTGTCTCAAAAACATCTTGCATTTTTTCTTACGGAGTGCATGTTTCTTGCTCTTACGATGAGGGTGAGGATTGTGATGTTCTGAAAGGGAACAGGGGAAAAAATAGAATAAAATAATGAATCTTTTAATCGACTGAAAGGTATGCAGAGAGTCCTTGACTTACGACCACATTTGACTTTTCCGTTGTTAAGCGAGACCATTGTTAAGGGAGCTTTGTCCCATCTTACGACCTTTCCCACCACTGTTGTTAAGCGAACCACTGCAGTGTTAAGATAGTAACACAGTTTATTAAGGGAATCTGATCTCCACATTGACTTGGCTTGTTTTGCAAAAGGTGACCACGTGATCCCGGGGATACTGTGACCATCATAAATACGAGCTTCCGAATGTGGATCCCGTGACCCATTCATCGTCCACCTGAGCCTTTACTCCCAAGTCAGCCCTTGTTCCTTAACTGTTCCCTTCTCCTGGCAGCTCTGTGCATGTGCATACTGGGAACAGGCTCCAGCTGTTCTTCTTCCCCACTCATTCCTGACTCTGAAGGCAGCTGATAACTGTCAGACGGCCCTGGCCCCATCTCTGCCTCCGACGCAGAGCCCTCATCAGAGCCTTCCCCAGACTCCAGGACTGACCCAGGTTTCTGTCCAACCTCCTCACTGTCTGAAAAATGGTCATGTCCCTTTTTTCAGGGCACCCCTATCTTCGAACAGTCAGCAAACGAACGGCTGCAAATTGAGACTACCTAGAGGCAGATTATGTTTGGGCTGGTATTCACCTTGAGGTTGGGTGTTTTAAGTTTTTTGGGGGTGGGTGGGCTTTATGCTTGAATATTTGAAAAGCCAGTTGGCTTGCTGGAAGGGTGGTTTGTTGTATTGTGGGTCCTTCAGAAGAGTTCATCAAACAAAACATTCCATGGTGGGATTCCACTGGTTCGGTGAGTACGCTAACTAGCTGAGTTGCAAAACATGGACATAAAGGACAGAGTAGGGCGGGGGCCAAATGATCACCAGAACTACTGGTTCACCCGAACCAGTCCAACCCCTGGCAACGTTGATCTATCCCTCAGGTGCTAAACTCTCAAGTTCATCCTGCCAGTTTCACTTCCTTGTACAGGAAAGTCCTCAACTTACAACATTTCATGACCACTCAAAGTTATAACAACACCGAGCAACATGATTTAGGACCAGTCCTCACAGTCCCAGTGGTCACGTGAACAAAATTTGGGCACTAGGCAAGATAAGGAAGAAACAAGCTATTTTTCAACATGGGATATATGTTTTCTCGATGGTTAGATCAGGGGTCTTCAAATTCGACAGCTTTAAGACTTGTGGACTTCAATTCCCAGAATTCCTCCTCCAGTCCTGTTAGCTCAGGAATTCTGGGAGTTAGTCCACCAGTTTTAAACTTGCCAAGTTTGGGGATCCCTGGGTTAGACAAAAGGAGTAGAAATTAGAAGATGAAAGATTACTGATATGTATAAGCAAATGATGTAAGAATGTTATTATATATCAGCAAACATCAGTACTATTATTATGGCTATTTTCATCATTATTATTATTGCTACTTGTACCTTACTATTATCTTGTATAAGCAAATTGATCCAGACAATACACTGTTTAATAAGCACATATGTATTTTAAAGAAGATAACAAATGTATAAATAAATGAAATGAAATGAAAAATGTGGGCACTAGACCACCAGCATGAATTTACATGATTCACTTACCAAATTTCAGGGATTTGCTTAACAGCTTCAGCAAAACAGTTATAAAATTGCTCTGCTTAAGAAGAAAATTCTGGCCCCGCTAGTTGTAAGTTAAGGGTTACCTGTATGTATTGAAACTGCAACTTAGATTCAGGGAAATTTGCAAAATCAACCATGGGGCAATGCTAAAGATTCTCTTGTGTAGAAGAGTAATGGGCTGGATACAGGTAGTCCTTGACTTGTGACAGTTCATTTAATGACTGCTTGAAGTTACAGCGGCACTGAAAAAAAGTGACTTCTGACCATTTTTCACACTTCTACACTTGCAGATTTCCCATGGTCACATGATCAAAATTCAGGTGCTTGGCAACTGACTTGTATTTATGTCAGCTGCAGTGTCCTGGGGTCACGAGATCCTTGTTTCGCAACCTTCTGACAAGCAAAGTTAATGGGGGAGCCAGATTCACTTAACAACCATGTTACTAACTTATCAATTGCAGTGTGTCAACTCATAAATCCATATTTCTCTGGTCCTTTTAGGGTTGCCAACAGAAAGAGAGGGGGGAGCAATGTAGCAGCTTGCAAACCGAAACTGCATTCCATAAATGTTTTTCAAAGATAGTAACTAGATGACTGAAGTTTCTGCCGCGCAAAATTCTAACTGGAGAGCATGATTGATGCCTCTTGGCTATGGATGTGTCCCATTGGAGAATATGAATTACAATACACCCAGGGGGTGGGGAAAAACTAGGGTCAAGGGTGACAATGAATGATGTGTCTCAGAGTCGGCTACACCCAGGCAATGCCGGACAGTTTAATTCCCAATAAATCCTTTTGAAGTTTTGGAAGTTTGGCCCGAGACTCATGATTTAAAT